GCATTGCACGGGGTGCAGGTGGTGGGCAGCCCGCAGACCCACACACCACCAGAACCCACGCAGCTGCTTGCAGGCACAGCGGCGGCCGTGCAGGCGCCCCAAACCCACCCGACCGCGGGCTCCCCAGCTCAGAGGGGTGCCCCGACTGCACGCTGCGCCTGCCCAGCGCGCCCGAGATGCGCGCCCCCAGCGCGCCCAGCCAGCCGCCGCGCATGAGCGAGCCGCCGCTGGAGGCCACGCTGTAGCTCCTGCAGCGCAAGCAGGCAGCACACACAGCCACGCGCTCGGTGTGGGGGGCAGGCGGCAGGCGAGGAGAAGCACGAGCGCAGCGTGGCACAGCATGCAGCAGGCATGCACTTTTGGTGTGGGTGTATGCCCGGCACATGGCAGCGCAGCGCCGCCCACCTGGCCTCGTGCGCCGCGTCGCCAAACTGCACCAGGTGCGCCTCCTCCACCCCCATCCCCTCCACGCTGCAGGGCAGGCAGGCGCGGGGCGGGGCAGAGCAGGGGGCCGAGGATCAGCGGCGACCGGCGCAGCGACGGCGCGGCAGCACAGAACAACACAGCAGCACTGGCCCGGCTCGCCAGCGGCAGGGCAGGCTGCACAGCAGCGCGGCAGGAGGGGCGCACCGCGAGGGCGGCGCCCCCACCTGCACACACACACCGCGAGCCGACCACACACCCCACCTGTGCCGCCGGCTGCCCAGGCCCCCCGCCGCCGCGCCGTGCGCCAGGATGTGCGCGCGCAGGCGCCCCCGCCCGCCAGACCCGGGCTGCAAGCTGGCGCCGCGCTTGAGGGAAGGGGTGCGGATGCTGGCAAAGGAGCCCTGCGGGCGCGCGGCGGGCGGCGGCGGTGCGGCATGGCACACACGCGTCGGCAGGGAGGGGCGGGGCGGGCGGCCAAGCGCCAGCCTGCACGCCCCCTGCCGCCCGACCTGTGGCAGCACTGCCGCAGGCACGCCCTTAACCCACCCCGCTGTGCAGTTGCTGCTGCCTTGCCCCAGCA